CCCCTCCGGCCGCGTGCCCGCCTGCTGCAGCTGGTACAGCCCGGAGGCTGCCCGGCCTCTTCTTTGGGCTCCCCAGAGGGAATATGGTCAGTGCAACAGATGTAGCATGATAGATGCTCAGGTCTCAGGCCTTAAGGCAATTTCTTTAAGACACATCTCTTGATTTGGCCATTCTCACCTTACCCAAAAAGAAAAAAAAAAATCAAATTCAAAATCAGGATTTAGTGCACCTGGTCCGGGTCAGAAGTGCCCTCGAGGTCTTTGAGTCAGACCCTCTGCCCCCCGCCGACACTCATAGACAGACACCCCAGCCTCACCACCTTCAGTGCCCAGAGCCTTCTCGGCCAGGTCAGCTCCCTGCTTGCCGCTGAGCAAGTGGCCCATTGGGTCGGGGCTGCCAACGTGAGTCTATGAAGGGTTGGGTGGGAGGGGGGGCGGGGGGGGCCAATCCCTCAGCGAATACCTCGCCCTGTCGGCTCACTTGTACAGTAAAGGAAATCTGATTTTAAAAATAGAGCTTGGAAGAGGAGATGAGGGGTATTTAGGAGCAGATTCGAGCCTGGGGCGGGGATCAGGGGAGAGGTGAGGACACGGGAGGGAGGGGGGCACGCAGCCCGAGTTGCTGAGGAGGAAGGTGGAGAGCCAAGAAAGAGGAGTCGTGAGGGCAGAGGGGTGCGAGGGACAGCGGGAATTCTCTGTCACGTTCTCCGCTTTCCTGGCCTCTCAGACACTAGTGGTCACACCTGCGGCCCTGTCCCGAGGGGCATCAGGGCTGAGGTCAGGGGAAGACCCTCGTCCGTCTTGGCCTGCCTCCAGGCCGTCTTCAGAGTCACTTGGGTTTGAGGGACACAGCGACCCGGTCTTGAGGACTGAGTGACTTTGAAATGAATATTCCCCCCAGTTACTCCCACCATTGCTCCAGACCTGCTGAGCGTCACTGTGGGGGTGGGCACGTGGGGACACTGGTTGGTATTAGTTATTTTATTAAACTCGTGTCAAGGTCAAGATCTTCCCTTGTGAGGCTTGGGCTGGGGCTCCTTGGTTTCCTGGTGTAGACCAGTGGTGGGGTCACTCTCCCCCCTCAGCTTGCCAGTTGGAATTTCTGAGGCGGCTCCCTGAGAGCCCCAGGAGGAGCTTGGGTGGGTCCTGGGTCCTGTGGACTCCTGCGGACTCCCGTGGACTCCTACTTTGCCTTCTTACCCCCCTGCCTTACGGATTAAGACCACTTGGGCCTCATAGCTGTGAGACCCTTCACATCTTGACCCAGAACAGCCAGCCTCAGTTGCTTCCTGCTCTTCACTTGGGGGCTGGGGCCTGGGGCCTTGGAAAACCGTTTTACGGCGAAAACAGTCTCTGGAAGGGGGGTTGCCGTGATTCAGGACAGGCATGGAATGACAGCAGGGCTTGGGCTGGCCCCAGGGCTTCTCCACCAACCCCAAACCGGCTGCATGGGGTACCTCCTGGAAAAGGTTCCTCAGCCCCTTGCCTCTTGAAGCCAACGAGGTGAAGGGCAGTGCCCCTGAGGTAGCAATGTTCCTGTGGCTGAGTCCCTACACCCCCGCCCCCGTCCACTGCTTGACTGGCAGCTCCAGGGGGCAGCTGGATCACTCTGCCCAGAATAACCCTGGGAGGGATTGGGAGAGGGGTCACATACGAGAATGTCCTTCTTCTTTGGGCTGCCCAAATGGGCCAGGCCAATCAGCTGCTCCCCAGACTGCTCTTGCCTTTGAAGGCAAGCGGGCAGAGGAAGGAGCCACGCCAGCTGCCAGCCTGGGGCCCGCGCTGACTTTCAGCGTGACCTTCTCCTCCTGGGCCCTCAGTTTCCCCAGAACTGCAAGGCGGGCTTGGGCAGGGGGTCTTCTCATTTTGTTCCTGTAGCTCTGGGGTCTTGGGAGGTGCCTGAGGGGTGACTTGGGGAGCAGCAATGAAAGGAGGGGGTTGGCTTGAGCAGGTGGAGCTCAGAGGCCCCACCCTGCCTCAATTCCAGAAGCTGGGGGGGTCCTTGTACTATTTAAAAATAGTATTAGGAATTGGGGGTCCTCACACTATTTCATTTACAGAGAGCTTCCCACGTATGGCCGGTTCCTCTTGGGGTTTGTCCCGTTCAATGTTGGCGTTGGGAGGGTCTCAGTGGAATCTGTCTCTGGTGGCGTCCCTCTGGGCCTGGTGTTCTTCTGGCTCTGTGGACGGGCCAGGAGCCGTAGACCCAGGAGTGGGGTGAGGGCTCTGAGGGAAACAAGGGGCGCTTGGCCTTGGTGCGGGTGGAGGTCAGGCCAGAGTGGGAGGCCGACTTCTTTCTCAGGGGAGGTGGGCCCTTTGTAAGCTGGAAAGGGTCCGAACAAGGAAGGGCCTGTGTTTAACGTGAAGACTCTGGCGATTTTTAGTTTTGGAATACCTGCTGTAATTGGTCAGCCCTCAGACAGCATTTTCACGCCTGGGTCAACTTTAATTTCCCCCCTTGCCCCCTGAGGCAACAGCGTTCCGCCTTGCAAGTGATTGCACCGGGGCCTGGGGGCTGAAGTGACTTCCCCGGGAGCTCTAATTAGCAGTGGCCATGCAAGGGGGCCAAGACCACCGGGCGCCCGCCTGCAGCAGGCCGCTGGTGACTGAAGCTAGTGAGTGGCAGGGTGCGTACACGCGGAGGCGAGTGTCGTCCAGACAGGGATAATTAGAATTTATTTATTGAAACCGATGTTTCCCTGGCGTCTGCTCTGTGTCAGGCATGACCCTAGCAGCTTGACCCCCAGACACTGACTTTGCTCCCACCAAAGCTCCCCATTTCACGGCGCTGAGAGAACCCAGGTCAGGAAGGAAGAGGCAGTGTGGGAAGCCAGGTTTCCCTGCTTCCTTCCTCCAGTGGCTGGAGAGGGCAGGAACGGATGCCCGGGGCGGGGGGACAGTGGCCATTTGGGGATTTGGGGACCCCGAGGGCCCCTTGGCCGGAGAGGCCACTTTTGTTCGTGGCATCTGTGTGCTCAGCCTCGTGACCCAGTGGGAGGCCAGGCCCTCCCTAGGAACGGGCCTCCCTCTCCCTGAAAAGCTCATGTGGTCATTGCCAACTCATTTTGGCTAATTTGGTTGTCGGCGGAGGGACAGAACAACTGGCCCCGGACTTGCTAATTATAGCTGCTCAAGTATTTGAACGAGGTACTGCGTCCCCCATGTCGTGGTGTTTTCCTGCAGACAAACTAACCCTTTCACCTTTGTTCCTGGGTGCCGGCCAGCCTACCCGCCCCATGTATCACCCAGGCACCCCACGTCCCCCAGAGAGCCGCCTCCCCGGGGGGAGGTCAGCATGGGACCTCCACCCCAGTCTTACCTTTGATGCAAGTGTTCAGTGGTTCCGCTCCTGTCCTGCCGTCGGCTGGAATCTCGCTTCTTCCTACAAAGTGATTGGATACGTTTATTTCTGTAATTAGGAGAGTCCAGGCTTTGGGTCATGGGTGCACATTCCCCTGTCCCCCACGGCACACCTCACACCTTCTTCCCTGTTTCTGTCCCAGGGCTGAGTCACTTTGCCCCTTTTGGGTCCCTCCAGTTTGAGTACTGACTATGTGCCAGACGCTGTTCTAAATCTTTGAATCCTTATGGCAACCATGAAGCTCTTGCTGTTATTGTCCCCATTTTTCAGAAGAGGAATCTGAGGCTCAGGGGCGAACCTCTAATCTTCAGTAGGCCTGACCTCATTCTCCCCCTGGGTCTGATGAAGCCTGTGCCTCCTGCTGGCCTCGGGGACAGTGCGTGACCCACCGAGGTCCGCAGTGGCGCTCCCGTTCAGCTCTCCCCACGGACTCCGGAGCTTTCGGGAAGACCCCAGTTCTTGCCAGTCCCCCATTTCGCTCTCAGCAAGAGCAAGAGTCTGTGTGAGTCTGGGGTCTGGGCCCCTTGCTTGACCCCGAGTAAATCTTTTAGCTCCCTGAGCTTCAACTTCACAGGCAATTCTAAGTAGCATCTTCCCAGGCTGGTGGTCCTTCCCTCACCCGGGGCCCCGTCCAGGGGGACCGCCGTGATGTTTTGTCCTACCCCCTGGTGTCCGTGTGCATGTGCTACTCCTTGGTCCCACCCTCTGTTGGCACACAGTAGGGCTGCGGGCAGCAGGTGAGCCCTGAGAGGTGGGTTCTCAGAGGTGGATAGAACTCTGAGCGGTTTCCTTTCTCCCCTCCCAGGTGGCTGGAGGTGAGACTGTGCTTCCCGCCCCGCCCCCCACCCCCAGAAGGGAGCAGGTGCCTGGCCCAGGATCGAATCGAAAGGTCTGCGACTTGAATTTATTTTTTCTGAGTTGTAAATTTGGACAATTTGTAAGTGTGTAGCCCCCTCAGGATGGAACTAACCTGCCCTCTTTATTTTGCAGCTGAGGCTCACTGCCCCCTGGATGGGCAGTGAGTCGTGGGTTCCAGAGGCCAGGGTGCGGACCCAGCCCCCGCCCTCCCGGCCCGGGATGGCACCCCTACCCAGAGGGGGGTGGATGCGGCCCTCCTAGGCTGACCTCACAGCAGACCAGGTGTGTACGCCCTGTCTTTACGCCACACAGGTTCTGGGGAGGTAGAGACCTTACACTGCATTAGTATGGTAATATTATTAAAAATTCAGAATAATGCTGTTATTCTGTTACATGTAATCAAGGGAGGTGTTTAAGTCTCTGATCATGTACACAGGGGTACAACAAGTGGGACCTCTCTGGTGGGGGCTCAAAGGGGGCCCAAGGGCCTGCTGGAGGTGGGGGGCAGAGAACACAGACTCCCCTGGGTGACTTTTGGTCAGATGACGGCCAGTCCCCCTCCCCTTCTGTAGGATGGAGACCATCCTCTTTAGGCGTTGCCTTGATGCCTTAAATGAAATAAAATAGAAAATGCCTGGCACACAGTAGGTATTCAACACAGATAAAAACAATTCTTATTTGAGGCGGATCTGTCCCCTCCCTGTTTGAAAGCCCTTCTCATTTTTCTAGAACCCAGAGGGAGGACGAGGGGAGCAGAGACAGTCGGGGGTCAGTGTTGGGATCCAGAGAGCCTTTCCTTGAGTCAACTATATAACTTGGACCGGCGTTGCCTGGATTTATGAGGCCTTCCGTAGGAGCGAACGTCTTCATGTTGAATTACCCTGGCCCGGAGGTGGATGCAGGTGATGTCAGCCCGGATACTGCATTTTATTTTTCTTTATCCTACCATATTTCATATCTGAAAAACTATGACAAATACTTTAAAGTATTCACCAGGACCAAACCCAGGCCAAATAATAAACAGCAGAGCCTCGTGTGCGGGAAAGGCGATTAAGAGCTGGTCACCCTCGCAGAGGGCTGGTTAACCTGTGCTCACATTTCTTCCGCACAAAGTCATGGTCAGAAATAGATCCCTGCCTGGCAGAGGGGAGGAAAGTTCTAGAAGGTCCCCGTCTGTGCTTTCGAGAGGAGTTGGTTGATCTGTGCGGATGGCGGCCGGGGTGAAACCGGACGAGGGCTCACACTGATTTGGGTTGAACGTTGGCTTAGTTTGGTATTCTGGGGGTCTCAGAGCTTCAGCGTCTCCATCTTTAGATGAGACTGAGATGGTTTTGCTGCGCGTTTAGCCCCGTGCCTGCTCAGGGATTCTGACAGCCTAGACAGCTGGGAGGGGGCCTGGGGAGTTGAGTCTGAAGCTCAGTGAGCAAGCAGGAGTTGAGGTGTCTTGGGGAGAGGGACACAGGGGGGCAAGCAAAGACCTGTGGGGTTGCTCCCCTTTGTCCTGGAACTGACAGGTCAGAAATACCCATGCCCTTGATCCACAATCCCTCTTGATGAGACATGGGGGTGGGAAGATGGCAGCTGTGGGTTCCGCACAGAAAGCTGCTGTCCGGGGATGCGGCGAGGCCCCGGCTGTTGGCCAGCCAGCCGCGCGCCTGTTGACTATGCATGGGAGCTGCGGGGCCGCTGCTCCCGGAGGCCGGCGCGTCCCCTTCTCTGGGCCCAGGTCCTGTGACATTCTCCCGGAGTTCTCATTCCAGCTAGCTAATCCCCGAGAACCCGGGCCAGGACATTCGCTTTTGGGGCTTCTTAAAGACCGAAAAGGGTGCATTGCAGACAGCCCCGCCGGGGGCTCTGGAGGGATTTGGGGCCTGGGGGCGGTGACATTGTAGCCGGCAGGCCCACACCTGCTGGCCTCCTGTCACTGACACGCCGCTGGGCGGCCCGGGGCTCCGGCTTTAGAACATATAAAATTAAAAGAGGAATGATCTTTGGGATAAAATAAATCCCCCGTGTCTGCGGAACTTGTTTTGGGGATGTGTGCCCCATTCTGGGCCATCAGCCAAAATGCTCTTCCTTTTGTTTTTGTAAAAAAGGAAAACAACCCCCCCCCACACCCCACAAACAAACAAATGAGAAAAACCAAAAAAAGAAAAAAAAAAGAGCCCCACACAAAGTGTTTATTTTAATTATGCAAGGAATGCGCTGATAATTAATACACTCATTACTAAAAATCAAACACTGCAGATAAAAGCTAAAGCCATCTGCAACCCCTCCCTCACTCCCAGCTCCCCCCACCCCCAGCATATTCACTGCTGTTACCAGTTTCAGGTGTGCGGTTCCAGATATTTCTCTGTGCATTTATGTATGTATATAAATAGACCTCTAAAATATATGATTTTGTTTATTTTTTACATAAGCTACATCACAGTGTACATTTTCTTCTGCTTATTTTTCTTCCCTCAGGAATCTGCCTGGAGATAATCAAGATCGACACCGTGCCTTATAACACACCTTAGTACCCTGTAATCTGAGCACACTGGGGCTGATTTAACCCCCTCACCGCTGTCGCGAGAGCCCCAGGTCCTTACCCCGTGGGGACGGACACGGAGCGTGGGGCAGGTGTAAGTAATTTCTCAGGAGCGGGCTCACAAGTGTTTATGACATTATCACAAATGAATATATGGATGCATCAATTAGCAAAATAAAAGAGGGACATGCCTGGACCAATGATGACAAAGTGTTTATGAACAAAGGATCATGATTAATCCAGTTCTGCGCAAAATACTGAGGTCCATTAAAAGACAATAGGTCTCGGCTGCTTCATTCTTTTTAAGAGCTGTTTAATATTCCGGGGTATGTATGCACCCTTGTTGATTAGACCCTCTTCTATTGTTGAAAATCCCAGCTGTAAGTGTGCTGGGGCAGGGGGGCGGCGGTTGGAGAATGGGTCCAGATAGGAGCTCTGGTCAAAGTCCTGGTTATCTGGGCGGGGTGGAGGGGGGTCACAGGTTCATGGCTGCTTATTATATTATTTAAGAAAATAAATAAAAATAAATACATAAGATAAAAGTGGACCTCGCCCAGATAAATGAGCATGTCACGAACTGAGGTTTTAATTCCTACGATTTTGTTCCACTGATGCCTGCTAAAAAGGACCTAAGCCGTTCGGTGTTGTGTTGTTGCTAATGGTCCCGTAACGAGCATTTTTATAGCTTAATCTGTAAGCATGTCCCTGGCTGTTCCTTTATCCCAGCTTCTTGGAGGTGGGGTAGCTGGGTTAAATGGTTTGCAAAGTTTATTTTCATTGATCTTTCTAAAATGCCATTTTGACCTTGTCACTGTCTTGCTTTAAATCCTCCTCCTGACTTCCTGGAGCTTCTGGGATGAGGTCCAAGAGCCTTAGACTGGCATGTAGGACCCTTCAGGGTCTGGCTGGAAGCTTCCCAGCCTCATTCCCGTTCCCCCCAACCCCACAGACTCCTTGACCTGTCTAGGCGCCCCGCGAGCTACCTGCTCCTGTCAGTGTGGGCCCTGCCTTTTTACACTTGGGGGCTTCGGCCTGCCTTCCCAACCAGCTTCTCCTGAGCCTTTTAGACCAGGCTTTGAAATGTACGTCACGCTGAACTACCCCCAACACCTCGTTCAAAAGTCCAACAAAGCACAGTCCCCATAAGTGCAATGCCTCATTGACGTGTTTTCCTAGTTCGGGAGAATGTTTTGCATTTTTCTAGAATTCACGAAACCAGCCACATGTTAATCACCCCCTTTCCTTTGTCCCTTTCTAGTGCCCTGGGCTCCTGGGTCGCCCGGATCTGCCTTCCCCTCGATGAAAAGGCCTCCTATTCTGCTCCTGAGGACTGAACCGTCTGCCCTGCGCACTGGGTGAGTGCTCAGAATGTGTCAGACCACAAACACACACCTGGAGTGGGGGGGCCTTCCCCCACCGCCCCCAACAGCTCCAGGTTCCCTCCATGCCTGCTGGCAGGACCCCAGAATCCATGAGTAGGGGGTGGTAGCATCTCAGGGTCAAGTGTGCTGGTGATGGGTTTGGGGGGCATAATTACGGCTTGGAAATGGTTGATTGCATCTTTTATGGCCTTCTCCTTGCCAGAGGGAAATGGGCCTGGTCCCAGAACATAAGAAGGAGGTAAGTCTTAGCATGTGACAGCAGAGCCACCAGCTGTGGTGATGGCAGGGGCTCTGGGGAGGGGACAGGCTGACGGTGGATGCTACCTTTGGGACAGTGTCATGTTCTAGAAGGAGCACAGGCTGCGGGGCAGAGGGACGACGATGCCAGGTCCACAGTCACCCTGGGGGCAGAGGGCCTCACCTGCTTGTGGGAGGGACAGAAGTCACCTGACCTGCTCAAGGTTTTGGTCTTTTTTTTTTTTCCCCTCCAGGGTGGGGGGGTGAGGGGCACCCCGAGAGGTTGGCCATCTTGAGAGCACAAACCTGGCTGCAGAGCGGACATGAAGTATACGTCTTTGGCAGGCCAGGCCCTGAGAATTCCCGTGCCTCAGTTTCCTGATCAGAAAAGCATCTGCACACACCGAGTACTGATAGGGAGAGTGAGACAAGAGCACAAATAAATCACCCCACACAGTAGCCAGAGGAAAACAGGAGCCTTCAGGGAGACCCACAGAGGAAACAAAAAGCCCGAGAGTGTGAGCAGGAACGAAGACCCCCTCTCCCCTCGCCCCAGTGCAGACGCCCCCAAGGGAGACCCTGGCCTTTCTGTCAGCGCCCTGGCAGGGAAGGGGGCTGCCCCCGCCGGGTTTAATTGGGTTCTCCTGAAAAGTTTGGCAATAGTTTATTTTATTTTTTTATAAATATATATAAAATGTCAGACTGCTCTTCAGGCAGATTTTTTAGGCGTGTATTTTATGGACTTTGGCAGGGTCGGCTCGGAAGGAACAGTAGTACAGTCTCCAGGGGTTAATAATTCCTGGAAAAACTTCTGGCTAAACCTGACTTCTCCTGAATTTCACAGAAAACGCTCCCTGGGCCGGGCCCAGCCTGAAGGAGGTTTTTGTGAGCCGAGGCAGCCTTACCTAGTGCAGGCATGGCTTGGCTGTTGCCTTTTACACAAAAGTGAACTTCCCCGGCCGCCGCGGGGCACAAAGACTCCTCTCTCCGCAAGGTTGGGTTTATTTACTCTGGAGCGGCTCGCCCTGGGGCTGGTTTTCTGCCTCTGTGTGTGGAGCTGCCCGCGCCCCTACCTTGTGGCCCCCGCGCTTCATGCCCAAACCCCACTCCCCACTTCCTCACGCAGGGACGGGGGGCACGGGGGGTGGCAGGGGCCAGGGAGCTGGGCTCTGTTTGTGTCTGGAGCAGAGGAAGTATCCTGGGGAGGGGGATAGCGCCTCCTCCTCAGCAGGAGTCCCCTCCCCAGCCAGCCTGCCCATCAGGGGCTAAAGGGTTTGCTGCCCTGTGGCCTTTGGCTGGTTAGGGATTTTGGGTAGGTGACTTTTCAAATCCACACCAGCGCTGACCTGAGCTCTTTCCTGCACCACCAGCTACCCCTGACCAGAAACCTCTCTTTGCAAAATTTCTTTTGTGCGTGGCTTCTGTTCCGCACCGCCCCCCCCGCATTGCCCCCCCACATAAGGCTGCAGAGGCAGGAAGGCATATGCAAATACCACTTTACCAAACATTTGCAAATCGACACTTTCAAAGCAATCCTTTAATAGATTAAAAAAGAGCAGTGACTTAATAACAACAGAATCCCCAGGCTCCTAAAAGCAGTTTCCCCAAGGTCTCCCAGCAGCTCCCAAGCGGGGCAGCGGGGGCAGTCTGTCTGTCTGTCTGTCTGTCTGTCTGTGGGGAGCCAGCCTGCACTCTCCACCTGCAACACGATGCTGCCCCCCCACGGCGGGTCAGAGCAGCTGTCGGGACCCCGACAGTGCCCTGGCGGAATGGACTGTCAGGAGCAGGACAATTAGGCTTGCAGTGACAAGGGGCTCCATCCCCAGGTCCCCAGGTGCTTCTGCCCTCCCTGAATCTTACAATCCTACTGCCCCATGAAAGTGCGTCACTGCCTCGAGAGGGTGAGCTAGGGCAGCCTGGTCATTTCACAGACAAGGAAACTCGGGCTGGCCCCTCAGCCAGCCTGTCTCTCTCTCTCTCTCTCTCTCACACACACACACACACACACACAAACACACACACACACACACGTGTGCGCGCACTCCCTGAGCGCCTGCACTGGGAACAAAGACAAGAAAACTCCTTTAGAAACTGCAGAACAGAGCCTCGTCTAGCGGGGGTCCCCTGATAAAGGCCCCGTCCACCCAGAGTTCCTGGGAACTGAGCCCCCATGAATGGGCCTGGAGATCCAGCGCCCAGTGCGGCGTGGGCCGCATTCATCAACATGCAGGCCCCTGGGCCCCATCGCCGGGTGAGGGGCTTTCACGAGTCCCCAGAGCATCCAAGTCACGGTCCAGCAGCCCGCTGAATCTGTGGCTGCGGCCCAGCCTCCAGCAAAGGGCCCTGCTTTTCCCATGACCGGGCGGCCTCTCAACTCACCAGACCCCCCCACCGACTTCTCCCCCCCGCAGGAAGGCTCCCCCCCACCCGCTGCACCAGCCTGTTGCCCCAGAGAGGACCCAGGCCAGCTTTTCTGGGCCTGGGAGCTGGGGCGGGCACTTGGCCACTCCAGGTGGCCCGGCCCTTGAGATGGGGAGTTGGCTGCAGGACAGCCCCCCACCTCCCCCGTGCTGGCCCCGAGCACTCACCCCCATTCTCTGCTCCTCTCCCTCACTGCCTCATTGTGACAGAAGCGCTCCACCAGCCATCTCCGTGCCTTTGCCATATGCAGCTCAGGGCAAGGTACATGGGAAAAGTCTGCGCATCCTTGCTCTGACCCCAGCCTGCCTCCTCCGCAGCCAGCCCCGCTTGGGACTTAGCTCTGTAGGAGCTTCTCAAAGGCCTAGACGTGCGGGCTGCCAGCCCGGGCAGGGAGCCGTGCTGCAGCCTCCCGGCCAAGTACCGGCCTGCCTCTCTCTGCTCGGATGCCTCCTGTAACAGGGAGCTCCCTCTCTCCCCGAGCAGCCCGCTCAGGGCTCGCACACAGAGCTGCTTTGCCGAGCCCTCCCCTGCTTTCTGCATCTGCCTCCGCGGCTCTGCTGCAGCCCCCTCGCCCCCTCTGCCCTCGGCTCTTCACAGACAGCAAGCTCACTTCAGTCCTCTCCTTTCCGTGCTGAGGAGCGAGCCCCCCACCCACCAAGGGATCAGATTTGGGGTTCCTGTCACCGTCCCGATCACAGCCGTCTACACCTGTCCCGGGGCGCCTCTGCCCCTGCTCGGTGGGGTCTGGGACTGAGCCCTTTGCCCTGCTGTTCTGCAGAGAGCCCAGGGGAGGGCGCGGGTCTCCCCTCCCAGATCCAGCTGCTCAGATCTCTCTGTTAAGCGGCGTCTGAGCCCTCCGTTTTTTATGGCCCCTCTGCTAGTTGCCAGGGAGAACGCTCTCTATGCAACCCCCTGCCTTTTCTGCAGGAGCCGCTGGCTGGCGGCTGGCCGGCCCTGGTCAAGCCCGCAGCAGCGGCAGTAGCGACGGCGGTAGGCGGCCGTGGTGGGGCTGGGGGGCTCCCGAGACAGACAACACCAGACCGGGCTGGACTCCCCGCTTCCTAGCTATGAGACCACGCAATTCCCTTTACTTTTCAGAGCCTCTGTTTTTCCCTGTGCAATAGATACGAGAGGGGCTCCCTCCCCGTGAGATGAAATGAGATAAGAGTCGCCTAGCACACATCAGACACTTCATGAATGCTTATGGAGTAGACAGTGGGGCCCAGGGAGGGAGGTGCACATGTAACAAGTGGTGCGCAAGAAAGAAGACAGTCTGGCCTTTCGCGACCCTGCCCTGAATACAAACGGGAACCTTGCCTGCCAGAGACCCCTCTGCCGGCTTAATCGTACAAATCAAGTCAGCCAGAGGCAGCCCCTGGCCTGTGAGCTCACAGTAGATGCAGCAGGCGGTAGAAATGCATGCGAGCCCACATCTGCATTTAATACAGCAAGAATTTGCCTTGTATGTAACAGCACGCGGGGCCCCGGGGTAAGGCATGAGAAACACTTAGCTCTGCTGCCGCCGCCTGGAAGGGCTGGCTCAGGCAGGAGGTGGGGGGGTGCGTCTGGGAAAGAGAAACCCAGTGGGCTCTGGGCATCCCACAGACTGTGGGATCCGGGCATCCTCCCATGCACTCATTCTGCAAACCACCGCAGTGCACCTACCTTGTCAGGCCCAGACCCGAGTGGGAGGCTGGACCCCGAGCAGTGGCAGTCGGCTTCCTGTCCTGGAAGCTCAGTCTGGTGGGGGAGAGAGACAGGGAGTAAGTCAGTCACTGCACATCAAGTGATCCGGGTGGGGGGCGGGGATGATGGCAGGTGAGATTTATGGAGGCCTGTCTCGGGGCCAAGCCCTGAGCTGGGCTGCCTGCATAGGACTCACCCCAGGAAAAATTCTGAGCACCAGCCTCATAATCCCCATTGGGTTGATAAGGAAACTGAGGCAGGGGATTGTGAAGTCGCATACTCACCGTCTCTCAGCTGCTGTGAGGCCAGGCTGGGATGGAACCCCAGGCCGTCTGAAGCTCCCCACCACACCCTGCTGCTGAAGACTGCTCAGGAAGGCAGAGCCGAGTGCTGGGGGGGCGTGGGTGGGCAGGGGATGGATTGATTAGTTATAAGCACCTCCCAGCGGTGCTTGAGATCCCAGCTCCTCTGTGGCCCAATCCGTTTGAAGGGCAGATTCAAAATTAGGTGGTAGCACCTATGGGCAGAGGCTTATGAAAATGGCATTATTAACCTGACGTGGAGAGGGCCCTGCCCACCTCCAAGCAGATTGCAGATAGAGACGGAGGGGGCTGGGGCTTGTTTATGTGGACAGTGCGTGAGAGAGGATGGAGCACATCCGGGGGGGGGCCCGCCAGGGCTTCTTCGTGGGGAGGACTGGCTTTGGAGGGGATGAGGGCTTGATGACTGAGAAAGGGGAACAGGAGATAGTCTTCAGGGCAGCCCCTCACCTCAGGGAGATGCTCTAAGCTGGAACCCGCTCTGGGAGGGAGGGTCTCCGGCCCCTTTTCTGACTGGCACAGGGACTGTGAGCCTCCCTGCTCCTCAGTTTCCCCAAATGTCACTGTAAGAAAAACCCTTGTCCCCACACCTTCCCTCCTGCTGCCACGGCTGTTAGTCTCCAGACACCTGTCTGCGTGTTGGAGCAGTATTCAACAGGAGAGCGCTGGTTCTGGGAGGGAGGGAGCGAGGAGGGCGCGATGTGGATCGGGGGAGGGAGGGAGGAGAACCGGCCCCCGACTCACAGAGGCGGCTGAGCCAGGTCTGCAGCGGGCAGGACTTGGGCCACTTAAGATTTGTGCCAACTCACGGTGCAGTGGAATCAGACAGTCTGAATTCTTCAGACACCAGCCAAGGGTCTGTGGCGCCCCCAAGTGCCACAAGGGGGCCGCCTGGGCCGCATTTCTGAGCCCAGAAAGTGAGGAGGGGGACACCGTCAGTAGGGACCGGTTCTGTTGCTCTTGCAGGGGCGCTTTTAATTGCAGCATCGAGAGGGGGGCCGGGCCCTGTGCCCTGCTGGGGACAGCCGGGAGGGGTGGCAGGCTCTGGCTTGGGGTGGCTGCCGGCTGTGCCCCTCCCTCACTGAGGGCCCTGCTGCAATGCACCAGGCTGCGGGAGGGTCCTGGGGAGCTGTCCTGGGGCTGGCTTTCCAGAATGGGAAGCAAAGGAGGAGGGAGGGAGGGAGCTTTTCCAGAGTGGCGAGGTGCCTGGGAAGCCCACCGCACAGAGAGTCTGGCAGCTGTAGAAGGGCCAGGGATCGGGGAGAGGAGGAGGTGGGTGGCTGTGGTCCACGGGGTCTGGGGAAATTGGCTGGACCTGGGGTGGAGTGTTAGTCAGTTTGCCGTGGTGATAAGACTGATGCAGAGGAGGGGGCTGAGTGGGGGGGGAGGGTAGGGGGTAGGTGAGGCGGGGGAGAAAGGGGCTGAGAACGCTGAGAGCAGCTTGGTGCACGGTTTTAGGGCAAAAGCACTAATTCTTTTCCTCCCCAAAAGGCAATTAAGAAAATAGCAAAAAATAAAAAAAATAAAAAAGGCATTTGAAAGCTAGACAGCTCAAGCCTTACCAGCCAAGCTGGTCTCAGGAAGGACTCATCAGGTGGGCAGCTCTGCCTTGGAGAAGGGAGGTGCCAGCAGGTCCTTTTGGAACCAGTGAAAAGGTTGCAAGGGCCAGGACATCTTCGGGAGGAGGAAAGGGGCCAGGGAGGGGGCAGGAGGGCCTGGAGGGAACATGGAGGGGTCCGAGGGAGGCAGGAGGGCCTAGGGGTGGCTGGTGGGCATCTCATTCTGCAGCACCCTGTACGTTTGCACTTTCTCCTTAATCCACCCAACTTAGAATGGCTTGCTCCTACCAGCCCTGGCCCCTTTCTTGTACCTTCTCCACTTGGAGGCATTCATTCCTATGAATCAGCTCCCTAATACCCCCAACACTTTGTTTGGATGCTGGGCTCCTTTGCTTTTTTCAATGGCTTCCCCTCTCCTACCCCCTCACCTCCTGCACTTTATTTTTACCTGTTGATCTTTAAAACCTGCAATTATGTAAAACTTGAAATAACACAAAAGTAGAGGAAATAATACGTATTTTCAATCACAATTGACACAGTTTCCACATGGCTGCCACCCAAGTGCCACAGCTCTCAGCCCCTCTTGTTCTGTCTGAGCCTTGTACTATCCCCTTGTACTGGAATCAAGCAAATTCCAGACACCACATTGTTTCCTCGGAGCATGTTTCAAGGCCTATCTCTAAAAAAGAAGGACTCTTTTCTGTTTTAAAAACATAACCACAATGCCACTTGCACAGTTAAAAAATTAACAGCCTTTCCTTAATGTCATCCAACATCTATTCAGCATTCGAATATCCCCAATTGACTCATAAATTTCTTTTACAGTTGGCTTGTTCAAATCAGTGTCCAAATTCTTTCCTGCGCTTTACAGGGGACACTGGGATGACAGCAGGTAAGTACAGATACAGATTCAGGGGTCTGACTATACACCCTGACCTTAAGTGAGTAACCCATCCTCCCTCAGTAAACCTCAGTTTTCTTACTGAAAATGGGGCAACTGCTGAGTCTCTCCCAGGGTCATTTAGAGGCTCAGAGACAGTGCACGGGAAGGCCCCAGCCCTGTTTCTAATACGTAATAGACACGCAGCAAACAGGAGGTGCTAGCATATTCTTTTTTTTCTGGAATCATTTAAAGGGGAGTTGGGCTGGGGTAGGCAAAACAGAACTGGCTATCATCCACAAAACAAAAGGCTCCTGGCAGTCCAGGCCCCCTGACTGATTAAGACAGTACATGAACTACATCTGAATGAGGGCGGTCTGCAGTCTGGGGACTGGGACCTCCGGCTGGCTCAGAACCGTGACCCCACAGCGGAACAACAGCCCAGGACCTACCAGGGACCCCGCTGGTTGCCGATCCACTAGATGGCGCACTCTGCTGTGAGTCTAGGAGGGACCACTACCCCAAACCGCTCTGGCCACCACCCAGCCCCTGGGACCGCATGGGGATGCACACTACTAAAACACTGCAGATAATTTCTAAAAAGCATTTCTCAATATGTCATGCAAGATGTACTGGTTTTCTCCCTGTATAAATCCTGGCCCAATTGCAGAAGCAGAGGGAATGAACATTTAATGATAATTTGCTCATTCCATGCATTGGTATGTCCACTCTCTTTAAATCCTCACCCCAGCTATGACTGATTTCCCTTTATTTTACAGATGAGAGGACCCTGAGAAGTTAGTGACTTGTCCAAGATCAGCTAGGAAGCAGGACCCAGGACTGCAATCCAGGTTTGTCTGATTCCTGTGCATAATATGGAGAGGTGGAAGGATGGATGTTCAGTCGGCTGGATGGATGGATGCTTGCCTCAGTGAGGCACGAGCAGATGGAGGGATGGTGTGCTGGCTGATGCATGCTGGTGAGATGGGTGAATGAATTCAAGGGCAGAGGGTGGATAGATGGATGAGTGAGAGAGAAGAGTCAGTTTCTCACCAACATCAAAGGCTTACTTGGTCTCTGAAGAGATGTTTCCTGTGAGTGGAGCTTGCTGGAGAAGCTCCTGCCTTTTGTTCTGCCTCTGAGCAAACTGACTGGCTCAGGTGGCTCTGGCGCAACAGGTGGGCTGCCAGCTCACAGGGACCAAGCCCCAGCTGTGGTGCTGGAGCTTCTCAGCAGCAACTCTCAGTCCCAGCAGTTTTCACACTGCACTGAGAAGCAGCAGGCAGCCTCCTTCCCCTGGCTCTCCTGGATGACTAAGCCCTGAGCCCAACCGCATGCTCAGTCCTTTTGTAGCCCCTTGGCATAATTTTATCTTCTTTAAATCATCACAGTGACCCTCAGTGATAGCAATTACCACCCTCAATTAAGATACAAGAAAACTGAGGTTTAGGAATGCTAAGTGACTGGCCCCAAATCATGCAAGGAACAGTACGGAATCGGGATTTGAACCCCAGTCTGCTTTTTCCTTCCAAACTCATACCCCCTTCCCATTTCTTTTTCTCTAAGACTGTGTCTGAAAAAAAAATTAAACCCTTGGGGTTAACCCATGTTAGACCCACCCTCCTGGTCTATCAGGGAGCTGGACCTCTTATCCCCCAGACTCTAAATTTATTTCTCAAGTAACACCTTCTCTAGTTTGTCCTATTTGTGACTATCACACATATAAGGGTCAACTATACCACTGACATCTTGCAGTATAATTAATCAAGTCAAATTTCTGGTGGTTCCTATGATAACTGAATACTAAGGGAAGCAGATGTATAAAATGACTCAGGAGCCTGAAGGAGTACAAGGCAAGGAGAGAAGGAATCAGACAGAGGGCTGAAGGGCAAATCAGCAAGCCTCCCTGAAGACCTGGCTTTCAGCAGATATGTTTTGATAACCTGCGTATGGGCTAAGTCCTGTTACACACATCCCAGATGCTCAGGTTTAATTCCCAGGTCTGCTGTTTACTAGTTTTGTGAGTATGTAACCTCTGTGCCTCAGTTTCCTCAGTTGTAATATGGGGACACCAACAGCACCTTAGTAATGGGTACTTGAAAATTAAATGAGTCAAACATTTAAAGAGTTTAAAACAATGTTTCTCATATGGTTAGTATTCAATAAATATTCCATTACAGTTAAAATTGTAATTGTCATAACTATTTTTATTGAGATGGTATTTAATATCTCTGATTGCTAAGAATCATTATCCACATTTTATAGATAGCTGAACAGGTGCTCAGAGAGGTGTATGAGTTTGCTTTTGGAGAGGGAGTCCATGAAATAAAAACACATATAAATTTAAGACGAGAAGATTTTAGCTCTAGTTAGGGAAATGAGAATTATACACACTAAATGGACAGGATCAATCTAATGAAATATTAAGTCCTGGAATAGGAATTTCCTGGGGTATTGAGAATTACAGAGAGGTTGAATGGGAGCTGAAAAGAAGCTGAGTAGATGAAGGGCAAGATGAGCAATTAAGTTGTCTGGTTCAACTTCATGGCTTCTAGAAGCAGTGGGCAAGTTCCCCCAGTATTCTCATATATGTTCTTACCAAATTTCTTTCTCTATCTATTTTGTGTGTGGGGGGGGTGAGGAGAAAATAATCACTTTATAAATATTTCTTTGTTTGCTCTTTTGAGTATGGCCAGTTGGAACGAAGAATTGTTCCAAGGAGTCTTAGCTCATGTAGGGCATGAGGACTGGCTGACCTCCTCCCATTTCTGGGCAGGGTATTTGCAACTAAAGCCTCAGCAGAGTGCAGCTGCCTGGGGGGAGAGGGGAGTACTGGGTGGGGGAAGTACATTTGGATGCCCTCCTACCCCAGACAGGATATGGGGCTAGCATCTGTGCTGACTTGCTGGGCTGTGTTTTGCGCATGCTCCGATTTCAGCATGACCTGACACTGGCTCTGTGCAACTATATCCACTGCGTCTTCTTTAAGAAAGGCAGTGTATTTACTCACCCAGGGCTATTAGTATATCCTGGAGACGCTCTGTGCTCCTGGGACTGCCTGTGTGGGAGGTCACACAAGCCCTCCCATTCACCCACACACTCGTTCCCACACTCACCTTGGAGGCTGACAGTGGGGCGTCAGAGAGCAAGAACTGCCACAAAAATGAGGCAGTGGGGGTAAGTGGGTAAAACAGACTCTGGAGCTTAGCATCCTCCTTGCTGTGTGACCATGTGTAAGTCACTTCACCTTTCTGAAGCTCAGTTCCCCCGTGTGTAAAATGGGACTAAGAATGTCTGCTCCAGTATCACCTTCTCAGGGAGGCTTTCTCGTGGTTGTTGGCTATTGCTCCCCCTTCTGCTTTATTTTTCTTCAAAGTTCTTATCACTGTGTCCTATCCTGCATATTGTACGTACTTTCAATATTGTCTGTTCTGTCTCCACCCAAGGGATGTTAGCTCTCAGATTTTGTCTGTTCTGGTCATTGCTGTATCCCAGGACCTAGATCAGTGCCTGGCACAAAATGTGGGCTCAGAACTTTTGGGGGGGAAGAAAAACAGAGATACTGTTGAATTGTACGCACCCCAGAGGACTGTCAGTGCATACGCCAAGCAGGCAGCATGGTGCCTGGAGCAGTGTATGCATTCAATCAATATTGGCTAATTATGATTATTATGTCTAATTCGCAGGGCTGCTGTGAGGATCAAACAAGATAATGTATGCTAAAGCATGCCATGACCACTACGTGCTGGGTGCAGGAGGTACAACATTAATGATCCTCTGATGCTTGGAGGGAACTTGCACTTAAACTTGATGCTTTTCACTTCCACACCACCTGGGAGGGAGGGCAGACTGGTGGATTATTGGCACCTGAGTCTCAGAGCGGGGACGGGCCTTGCCCAGGCCATGCAGTATAATGAAGGCAAAGGCAGGAGCCTAGGTTCCCAGCCTGGTGGTCTTCCCGTGACTCCCTTAGGAAAGTCCCCAAGCGGATATATGTATGTATATATTACATTATACACACATAATCATGACGTATGTATCTTTTAAAACTTAGTCTATTTTTAATGTTTCATGTCTCAAGAGTTGTACCGTGGTCAGTGTGCTGGGCACCTACCAGGACAGTCTGGGAGGGTAGGGGGGAAACTGGCTATATTGTCAGTAAGGGTCAGAGTAGAGGCATTTGTAGTTTCTGGGAAACGACTTGATCATCAAGAATCTCCTGGCATAGACTCCCCCGAGGGCAGCCCCATTTCATGAAATGAATTTTAGTTTTCTAAAGCGCATCCCTTAGTTGGATTTCTGTTTTCCAGGGCACTTGTTTAAGCTTTGATGCCGTGTCCAAAAAAGAACAGATCCCAACAATTTCCTGCCCGAGGCCCATCCTTCCCGAAACCCTCGGCTTGGCCTGAGCATCGAGATAATTCGTTTCTCTGATCAGACTGGGAGCTGTTTGGCCAGCTGGGTGGGCGGGTGGGCCGGGGAGGGGGTGGTGTGCAGGGTGGGAGCTGCTTGAGGAACTGTCGGTAGTTCACTGCACCCTCACGCTGGACCCATGAGGGTGCTGCTGTCCTCAGTCTACAAATCGCACAAGTCGGGGCACAAGACAGAGAGGCCAGGTCACGTCTCTGCAGTTACACAGCTCATGAGTGCCTGCTGGGGTGGAACCTGGTCTGTCTGTCTGTCTAGCACCACAGCTCGGGCGCTGCTGCAGAGGGAAGAAAGATTTGGGTGAGGGCTCAGAGACAGGGTGGGGGTGGGAGACTTTACCTGCTTGCCTTTGGTGGGAAAATAATGGCTAATTCTGCTTAGGGACTAGTGCTGCGACTATCTTACAGATGGGGAAACAGGCACATAGAGGTTCGCTAACTTTCCTGAGGCTGCCCAGCTTGTCAGGGTTTGAGGCTGGATTTGGAGGCAGGCAGTGTGGTGTTGAGCCCATGTGCCCTAACCATTGGGAGCGGTGTCTTATGGCTGTGAGCACATAGTCAGGCAAAGTGAAGATGGCACACAGTTCAAGGATCTCCGTTTGAGTCCTTGTACCGTCCCCTGGCGGGTGTGCTCTTCAGTGAGTCACATGGATTCATGCTCCCCCTTGACAGAGCCCTGCAGAGGCACTGCAAGCCAGTGGCCCTTCGAAAATATTTGTAAAGAATCCACACGTGTGATTTTTGTATATATGTAATATATAAATCACATACGTGATTTATATATATATAAAAGGGGAAGGGGAGGGTATTCGGGAGATTTGGGAGCGACCATTGAAGGCAGAGGGCAGCAAGGGGCTAAGAGCAGGGGGAGTGGAGGTGGGGGCCACGCATGGTTGTTGTATAGGCTTTAAGAATCCGTAAACTAAGAGAGGGGCAACCCTGGGGCAGTGGCCAGAAGTGACCTGAACCAAGGATCGTGATTAATTCTCCACAACCAAGGGCTATAAAGAGATCGGAGTGGTTTGTGGTTATTAATTTTATTATTAAAAAGAATAAAGAGTCAAGAAATAATGTAATAAAGGCCTTGAATACAGTCATTGTGAGAATGTGTTCTGGACAAAAGATTATGATTAATCCAGGTCTGCTTACCTGACATTAACAAACAAAAAAGGTCTAGGCTATTTTCTTCCTTTTAATGGGGCTTTATGTTCCATAGAATGGGCACATGGGGGTTTTTCACAGGACATGTAAGATCTTTGTGGGGAAGGCAACTGTAGATGGGTGTAGGCGGGGCTTAATGGGTTTTACTGAATAGTTAAAAATTAATGAATGCATAAATAAAATTAAAGAGGTCCAAGCATGGACCAGTGATGAGGATGTGTTTTTAAACAAGGGTTATGAGTAATCTGTTGTATCCAACTGTAGTTATTAAAAAAACAAAACAAAACAAACAGAAACAAAGCCCAATGAATTCAAGGTGTTGGGATGGTGAGTAGGAAGCATATCAACAGTTATATAGATGGTCATTGGTCTGGGGCTGGATGGTGGCTTTGAGTGTATTTGCTGTATAGTTAAATATGAATTAGATGAGTAACAAACTGAGGGTTGCTGGGGGAGGCGGGGCTGTGGGGACAGGGTAATTGGGTGATGGGCATTAAGGACGGCACGTGATGATCATTGGGTGTAATACGCAACTGATAAATTATTGAACACTACATGTGAAACTAATGATGTACTGTATGTTGGCTAATTGAATTTAAATGAAAAATTTAAAAAAATGGATTAGATGAGTAAATAAAATAAACGACAGAATGAAAGAGGGCTGATAATGAAGCACCAAAGATAATGTTTTATGAATTATGGATTAAGATTAATACACTTATGTACAATTGTGGACCATTTAAAACCATAAAACAAAACAAAGCTCTTATCTCTGTGGATAAGAAGCATTGGAATAGAAGTACTAATATAAGTGCTGATTGATATTTTTGTTCTGCGTTAGTGCTGACCTTATGTGTTTATTATATTTAAAAAAATAAGTAAAAACAGTAAAAGGGACATGTAGGAAACAATGATGTGATTATACCTGGAATCAAAGATTGTTATTACCTCAATTCTGCATACCTGAGTCCATTAGGAAGAAGATCTGGGCTGGTTCCTTTGTGGGTAAGAAGCATAGAGACAGATGCTTAAAATGGCTGTTATTCTTGTTTTTGATTAGGTCATGCATGTTTATTATAATAAGATTATTAAGTGAAAGGCCAATGGTGAGAGTGTGTCATGAACCAAATTGTGATTCATCTTGAGCTGCTCATCCAACAGCCATTAAAGAATACCTGGTTGTTTCATCCTTTTTAATACGTGCCTTGTGTTCCACAGAATGGAGGCCCCAGGGTGGGTCTAATGACACTCTTGTTGATGAAGATCTTGGCTGTGAACTCTGTGGAAAATGAGCCATGGACCAACCAACGTGAGTGATGGTTAGTGTTACTGTTCTAAGGTTGGCTGGTTGGCTGATGGGTGTGTGTGTGTGTATGCATTATTAAACATGAACAGGCACAAATAAAATCAAAGATGGTCAAGCATAGACCAATGAGGAGACTGCGTCATGAACCAAGGTGATGAATCTCATCTGGCATAACTGTCACCAAGTTAAAAAATAATATAACTAGGTTGCTCTCTGTGTAGGAGATGAGCAAATAAAAACAATTACATTCATATATATTAATTGTATACATGTATATAACATGTATATAACATGTATATCTCTTTATATAGATATAATTGTTACTTTTTCTTACTCTTGGGTTGAGTGGTGAGTTCCTGTTTATTGATTTATTAAAAATAAATGAATGTGTACATAAAATAAAAAAAGATTAAGCATGGACTAATGAAGACAAGATTTATGATTTATGATTACATAATCCTGCAAATTTGAAGGACATTAAAAAAATCTAAGCTATTTTATTTTAAAAGTATTTTACTATTAATTTATACACTATGGTTTATATAGGCACTTCTGCATTGATAAATTTGGGTGTTAACTTGGCAAAAGTGATGCTCAGAGAGACAGATAATGGTACTTTTCTGTTTGTTGGGTAAGATTCATAGGTATTCTTTTACAGTTTTTTGAAAGGAATAGATAAAATTAAAAAAGGCCAAGTGTAGACCAATGAGAGTAATGATTCATAAACTGAGGCTCATTATTTTAATTCTACACAAGTGAAAGCCATTGAAAATGATCCAGGGTGTTCAGTTTTTAAACAGTTGCCTTCTGTTGCACAAAATGGACACACCATAGTTCATTTAATCGTGCAATATTTATGAGGATGTTGAATCTTATTTGGACGGATAAGGTACGTAAAGAAAATGTAAGTAATAGTTGATGTTCTTAAATCTTTGCTGGGAAGTTGTTCAAGGGTGTTCATAACTAAGTAAATACATGAGTGAACAAATTAAGGAATAAAACAAGAGATGGCAAACATGGTCCTATGATGATAATATCTCATGATCCCAGGATTAAGATTATTCTAATTCTGTACATCTAAGTTCCATTCAAAAAAATGTATTGGTTAAGGAGTAGTCAATACTGTTGTTTTTGCATGATGGTGTGTTGGATGTTGATTTTAGTACTAAAAACAAATAAATAATTACATAAATGCATAAAATACAGGAAAGGCCAAAACATGGACTGGTGATGAGAAGGGCCCAATGATTACAGTTAATTCAGTTCTGCGCTTTTGACCTCTATCAAAATAATCTAGTCTGTTTCATTCCTTTTACCAGCTACTTTGAATTATTTCACTGTGTATATATACATAGTTTATTTAAACAATTCTCCATGGATAAAGATCTAAGATGCTAATGCTGAGCAAGGAGCACAAAGGGAGAAGAAAGATAATGTCAGTGTTCTTCCTGTAAGAGTAAGAGATTGAATTTATGGGTGCTCATTAAAACTTCTTTAGAAATGACCAAATCAAACAAGAAAGAATCAGCATGGACCAGTGATCAAGAACTATAATTAATCCTATTTAGCTTCGTTAGAAAAAGTTCTAGACTACTCCGTGAAGATAAAGAGTATTCATTAGTGTTGCCCAATAGGGTTCTCTGCAGTGATGGATGTGTTTTATATAATTTGTTCTGTCCAATATGGTAGCCACTAGCTACGTGTGACTCTTGAGCACATGAAATGTGGCTAGTGTGTATGAGGAACTGAATTTTTAATTGATTTTTATTAAATTTTAAATTTAAATAGTCATGTGTGACTAATGGCTCCTCTCTTAGTCAGTTGTGTTGGGTAGTTGGGTAATGGGAGTTTTTTGAATATTAAATATGAATAAATAATTATATAAATCAATAATACACAAATTAATAATAGAGGATTAGTTATAGGCTAGAGATGAGAGTGTCTCATGAAACAAAGATTATAATTAATTCAGTTCTGTACAACTGAGATTCACGGGCAAAAAAGTCTTAGGTTCATGGAGGAAAGACATAGGCTTATTAATTTATTTTATCAATTGTTTATATTACCTTGTCTGGGTGTTCCACAGTTTATGTGAACATTTCTCTAACACTGAAGATCTTTGTATCTTGGTGGGAGAAGATAAAAAATGTACTGTCCAAGTCATAGGTGGAGGGCTGAATAGTGGTTTTGTCAATATTCATTACATTATTATATTATTTACTTTAAAAATGAAAAATAAATAATAGTCCATGCATGGTACAAGGATAATAATGTAACATGGACTGAAGTTTGTAATTCATACGTCACCACAACTGCAGTCCATAAAACTTTATCCTAATGGAGGGGAGGAAGCATCCCTTTCATTAGGCCCTATTAAGCAAGGTCTTTTTTAAAAAAAGGTGAAAGAGGACTCTTCATTCATTTTACATTTGTTTAATATTTCATTTTATGTTCCATCACTCTCAATTTACACATTCCACCATTGATGAAGATTTGGGTGTCTAACAGGTTGATAGAGAAACACAAGTAAAGATTGTTGGTGAAAGGTTGGTGAGGTAAAATGAGATGTTCCTGGATTGCCTTCGTTATGTATTTGAAATTTGACCAAATTAAAGAAAGACTAAAATAAGAGGGCCACGCATGGTTATGATGGGTGTGGGTTTGCATGAAGAATGATGGATCCGTATGCGCAACAGTGAGTACATTGTAGAAAGAGATCTAGTGTATTAGTTCTGGGAGAAATTAAACAAAAGACAGAAGTTAGTGATATTCTTTTACCTTTCTCCTGCTTTGTTGTGATTCATGAATATGATCAAATAATTTTTAGTCAATGAATGAATGAACGAACAAATGTATAAATGGATAAATAAACAGTCCCAAGCCTAGACCAATGATGAGTACCCTGGGGTGTCTGAACCGAGGATTTTGATTAAACCCTGTAACTCTGAGGTCCATCATAAAAACAAACCTCATTTCTTGTCTTGGCGGGACATGAATTGTCGCAGAAGTTAGGAATACAGGCATCTTGCTTGTGGCTTTGGTACATCTTAGGTATGGGTCCTTTTATTAGTGAATCCCTGTGTGAGTACATAAAGAAACATATCCATGAATAATGACAATGAGGGCTAGGTATTTGCCAGTTATGAGAGTATCTAATGAGAAATAAATTATTATTAAAACGTTTCTGAGGAGCTGAGTTCCAGGAAGTGAAGAGTTCAAGGCTTTTACCATATTTTATCAGAAACACGTAGGCAGATGTCTGTAAGCATCAGTGTTGCTTCTGGGTTGGTGGTTGTTAATTTTGTTAAGAATTTTATTAAGAAAAGGGGGAAAAAAGGGAAGCATAAGAAATACTGATTACAGAATACTTAATTAAGGAAGCATGGGCCAGTGTTAATGTGTTACGTGAGAGGAGTTATGATTAGATCAGTTATTCTCAATCAGTATCATTTTTGAAAAACACATCTGTTTTTCTGTGGGTATTTGAGTTTATGGGAAAATATTAGTATTATTTAGGTATGTCTAGGTATATAGTTTCACAAATTTTGATGATATTATTATAAGTGAATGAAGGAAGAGATTATTTTTTATTTTTATTTATTTATTTATTTATTTATTTGATAGAGAGATAGCGAGAGCAGGAACACAAGCATGGGGAGTGGGAGAGGGAGAAGCAGGCTTCCCACTGAGCAGGGAGCCAGAGGCAGGGCTGGATCCCGGGATCCCAGGATCCCAGGATCCCAGGACCATGACCTGAGCCGAAGGCAGACGCTTAACGACTGAGCCACCCAGGCGCCCCAGGAAGAGATTATTTAAAAAAGGGCATTTATGTATCCTTGAGGATAATATATCGTTAGAGGAAGTTCATTATTAATCTTGCTCTACCTTTCAGATGTCCATATAAGTAAAAGCGGTTGGTTTGGGGCTCTGCCCGCTTTGGGTAAAGGGCGTAGAGGCAATTACTTGTAATAGTATTTTGCATTTTTTTTTTTTTTAAAGAGAAAATACGAACAAGTCATTCCATGAGCAAATAAGCCAAAACCAAACAAACAAAGGAATAAGTTTATAAGGTACAGTCAAGCATGGATCATTGATGAGAATATGTCAAGAAATGAAAATGTAAATTTGTCAAATTCTAATCAAGGAAGATCCATAAAAAAGACAGTCTAGGCTCGGACCTGTGTGGTTAGGGTTTAATACACAGGATTTGGAACAGGAATAGTTCTTAATTCTTCTACTAAGATGTAGATTTAGCAGTTGTCATTATATTACATACATTAAAAATTACAGACATCAGTAAATAAAAAGGTGGCCGTTTTTGGGCTAATAATGGAAATGTGATTAAAAAGGGATTTATGATAAATCTAGTACAGTAAGACTAAGGTGTCTTTAAAAAAATTTTAAATCTGTACTGCTTCTTCAGTTTTCTAAAATCTGCTTTTTACTCCACAGATTCAATCTGATTTCTTCATTCTCCCATGAGGAAGCTCTTGGCTGTCCCTTCTGTGGATAAGGAGCAAAGTGACTCATGTAAGTGACAGAGTTTGTGTTCTTGGTGTGGAGGTAATTCATGTGGGTTTTTTGTGGGATTGTTTCAAAGGAAGAATGGCCACTGTAAACATAAGTGAAATCAGACACACCAGGCTCGGACCACAGCTGGGAATGTGTAATGAACCACATATTAAGACAAGGACCTTTTAGTTTAACTGAGATCCATTAGAAAGAAAGTTTGAGGGGTTTGCATCCATTTTCAGAGTTCCTTAATATTGCATTTTATTTCTACACCACATTCTAAGAACATTCTCTATTGATAACTATCTAGGTTGTTAAATCTTTGAGGAAGGAGCACCTGGGAAGATACAAAGTGTTGCCAGTGTCCTAGTTAGGGAGAGAGTCAAATGGTAGCTTGAGTGTACTATTTTTAAAATATGAAGAAATTAAGTGAAAGATGAGCAAGCAGAGCTCAGTCAAACACATGGGATGGGTATGAAGCAAGTTTATTGATTAACACATATGTGCAACACTGAGGTCCAATTAAAAAGAGATCTCATTTACTAGCTCTGTGGGAAAGAAGCCTGTAAACAGCTCTCTGCAATATTCAAAGATCTTGTTCCTGGGTTTTTGTGATTCATAGGAAGTGCTTTTTTTAAATCAGCTAGGCCATGAATGAAGTAATCAATAAATAATGCATAAACAATCAATACACAATGTATAAATAAATGAAGTAAAAGAATGTTGAGCTTGGATCAATGATGAGTAGTTCTGGGGTATATGAATCAAGAATTTTGATTAAACCCTAAACTCTGAGGTCCATATAATACTGTATGTTAACCACACAGAAATTGAAATTTAAAAGAAAGAAAATAAAGAAACCTAGTCATTTTCTCTAAGGGAATAGAGTTCAAGCCCCTTGGGGATCTGGTTCTTAGGTCTTAAGTGATTGTTGTGTATGGATTGTATTGATGTAAGTGAATCAGTGAATGCATGAATAAATGAATGTGTAAGTGAATGAAGACAAAGAAGGTCACCTGTGAATCATTTATGAGAGTGTATCCTGAAACAAGCATTATTGGTAATATATTTATTTAATACCAAGTTTCAATATAATACATAGGTAAAAGCTGTTGCTCCCTTTATAGCACATAGGACGGCCAGACACGTAGGAGCACACGCAGATGTATCTATATGCGCATGTCTGCAGGCTGGATTGGTGGGAGTTTGCTGGTTGTTGGTTTTGTTTAGAGGAAGGAAAAAATGTTTACGTAAACCGATGATTACGTAACTCTCTCATTGCAAAGAAGCAAGAATGGGCCAGTGTTGAGGATGCGCTGTGTGACATCAGTCATGATTAATTTAATTGTGTTCACTGAATTTTATTTAAAAACACAAAATGAAAAGGGACATATTTATTTCTATGGGTAATGAGTGTGTGGGTGTGGGCAACTGTTAGTATGTTTAGGTGTTTGAGTATAGGGTCTGTAGAATCTCAGGTAGTTATATATTGTGGTAAGTTATTGAATGAATATGATCATTTTATTTCATTTTTTAATTTTTTTATTATTTTTCTTTTCTTTTTTTTTTAAAGATTTTATTTATTTATTTGAGA